TTTTTTTTTAAATGCAATCCATGCTTCATGTTCTTATCACTTTTAGGTTGTTTTGTAAAAGCTAGTTTTCCATCATTTTTTAACATCAGGTTTCATATTTGTTTGGCGTTCTCATCGTTTTCCATTGTTCTCATCCTCCTCATTTTTCATAATTTTCGTTTCATCATTTTTCATGATGTTCATGTCTTTTCGTCATGTTCCATCATTTTCATTATTTTCCTCATGCTTCATCATTTGTCATCGTTTATCGTTTCTCATGACTTTTGCTTATGACTTTCTTCATGTTCATCATTTTTTGATCATTGTCACATTTTCCTCATTTTTCACAGTTTTTCATTATTTTCCATCATGGTTTCACAATTTTTCTATCATTGTCCTATTGTTTTCATCATTTTTCATTATGGTACTTTTCCAACATTTTCTATCATTTTCATGATTTGTCATAATTTTTCATCATGTTTCCATCTATCATTTCCATCATTTTTCATGTGTTTCTATCATTTTCCTATTTTTCATCATTTTTGGACATTCTCCATCATTTTCTATCATGTTCCATCCTTTTTACATCAATTTTCGTCTGTTTTTTTTCATGATTTCTGATTAATTTCGTCAGTCTTCACAGTTTTTGCTTCAGAATTGCGCTCTCGTGTGAGGCGTCCTTCGATTCCAGGCCCCCGGCCAAAAAAAAGTCCCAAAAATTAAAACAACTACGTCAACAAACAAAAATATACCTTTTGCTAATCCCTGAGAAGAGTACTACCTCGCCCGATGGGTTTGCCCAGATGAACCGGTAGTGAGAAGCAGCATGCACGTGAATCGAAGAGGCAAATGCTTAGATCTGCAGCAAGTTGGTGTGCAGAGGAGATGAACGCTTCGTAGTGCACTTTCGAACTTGTCACGAGTTATTGCGCCTTCGCATATCTGCGCGATAGTTCTGTGTTAGCAGGAAATGCTGTTTTGAAGGGCCGCGAAGACAAAACGTTACCCCAAGGCAGGGAGCCTTAGCGCAACTGCGCAGGAGGTTATGCTTTCGCCAAGGCCAAAGGAGGATCAGATCGTGTTCATGATCTAGCACCAAGCAGCCAAGCCCCACCAAATTGGGTGCCACAAAAAACAGCTGGGGCGGCTGTTAAATTAGCTTGTGATATCTTGTGACTTGCGCTCATCGGCGTCCCTGTGACTTTGATCAACTTGGACCGACTCTGTGCAAGTGCATGGAGCGCTGTCACACTGGAGATGAGCTGTCGTTCTGCTAAAGCGCTGCCTAGGCATCCAGAGAGCAAGCAGTCAAGGGGCACGAGCCAACCAACGCCCATGCACCAACAGCACCTTCCTGCATGGACACAGTGCGACACATTCACAATCAGTGATCCGAATGTTGGCATGAGGCGATGCGAATGCTCCCATGCATCATCTAGCAATTCGAAGAATTCTGGGAGCAAAGAGGTACTGACAGTCAACATGCGCAACCGCTTACAAGCAGCTAGGATGGAAGGATCGCCCCAAGGACAGGCACACGAGACAGGCTGCAAGTTCGCTGATGTGGAGAGCGCGATGAAAAGCCTGACCAGAGCCTGGAGTCATGTCGGCCAAAGGCGAATCCGAGCCCAGAACAGACATATGGAACGCTGGCTGATGGCTGGCAGGCCTGCACAGCAGAACCATGCCCAGCAGACATGAGCGGACCTGGTGAGCCCCAAAGACTTCCACCGACCTGGGATGGTGAAATCGTGACCGGCCACGGAGTGAAGGCAAAACGTACACAGTGCCCGCATTGATTTCGGTTTTCAGCAGTGAGGTTTTTGTGCGAAGAACCTGCCTGAGGCAAGATGTTGTGGACGAGACGCCGGGCTTCGACGCGGGCTCAGACTTGGCTCTCAGCGACATGCTGCAATGTGCTCAGAGGCCGAGTCGGAGAAAATAGCAATCATAAGATGGCGCCTGAAAACCAGATGCCGACGGTGGTGGGGGGGATATACTAGAGTTATTGGACTCTATGTCAGCTTAGCTTATTGTGGAGATTCGAGAAGCTTGATATGTGAAAACAGACCTGATGCGCGCATCGATGAGAGGCAGGCTTTCATGAATGGAGCGAAGCCAAGGACCACAACGCATGGCGCACGCCCAAGATCAAGGGGTGCGGGTCTCAGTTGACGAAATTCTGTTCTCCTGAGTTGCTTGCACTGCGGGAGTTGGCTCGACCACTTCCGGCTTCTGCGTAGTGAACAAACTCTTCGCCTACGTCTCAGAAATCACAATAGGAACAGTGTCACCAACCTGCGAATCATGATGTTTCAGTTAAGGCTCTCTGATATGGTATGCTTAAACCCTTTGATTCTCCCCAGATGCAATGAGGCAGCCTCTTGAACCACGTTTTTGGCCCCGTCCAATAATCATCATGCTATGCCTGGTCCCAGGACCGCGTGCCCGCCAGGCATAATAGCTTACGGCTTTAGCGGCAGGAGTTGCAAACCGCTGGGTGCTTCAGCCTGTAGCTGGAGTGCATGTATACAGCGGCAGTTGTTGAAACGGTGAAGCGAGGCAAGTGCAGCCAATTTCCGAACGGCGGGATGCTACAGCTTCCTGGTCACCGCGGCAGGTGCAGATATGTGCAGATGTTTTTGCAGCATCATCTGTGCTTGACCAGAGTTTCTGCAGTATGTTTTGCTTGATCGCCAATAGCTTTGGCAAGATGGCAGAGCACAAGCAAGCTTGACGCGTATAAAGCCAAACTGTCTGTGCAGGGAGGCAAGTCAGCCTCGGAGGCGGCAAAAGCCCAGGAACTGAAAGAAATGAAGCCGGGCGCCTCAAGTTACAGACTAGCTGCCCCGATTGAATTTTTGAGCACTAGTTCATCACGTTTCTCATGAAATTCTGGAAGGGGCAACTAAGGGAGTGCTTTTAGTTTTGGGATTATCCTCGTCTGCTTCTCTCAGAACCCTGCCGCACTTTGATTTTATGAACAGTTCTGCAGTCTTCGCGGCTCCCAACGTTCGCATGGTGCTTTCAGTCCTCATGTGTTGCCTGAAGGCCTCCAAGCAGTCAAGCGCGCGCAGCCCACACTAGTAAAAGCTGGTAATTTGAATCTCCTTTGCAACATTGTTTTGAGGACAACCTTCCGCGGAGCCCTTCTGCCCTGGCTCAAGCACAGCGGTCCAAGAAGCGTTGCAGCATACATGGAGGCCCCTGAAGTGCTGATGTACATCAGCCGGGCTGAGTTTGTTAATTAAATGTTAATTACATGGGGAGATCATGTGCGCTGGCTGCGGCAGGACTAGCTGCAGGAGGCGTTGATGGCCACACAGGACCCAAGGCGTGCAGTGGGACCTCCAACCAGCATAAACTACTCACCTCCCCCTAAATGTTAACATCCCCCAAGACTTAGAACATCAGCGGCCGAAAATCCGGGAAGAGCACTGTTGAAAGGGGAAAACTGCTCAGTCACTTCTCCCTAATATGAAAGGACATCCCTCCCCCGCGTAACATTAAATAATCCAGTGCCTGAAAATATATTTGACATTGGGGGGAAGGGGGGTGTTTATTGCAAGAATTAGATGGGGCTGCCTTTCAAGTCCTCTTAAACTCCATGGAAAGCGATAACTTGTTGAGCAAACCAGTTAATAAATCTAACTGCTAAAGGATGCTGATGTCCATTGATCTGAACGCATGTGCTTGTGCCCTTACGACGCCATAGCGGCTCCGGGATACCTGCTGAGCAAAGGCAGGGCGATGGCTAGCTTGCATAGGGATTGAGCTGGCTTTGTGCAGCAGTTCGCATTGGTGCTGCGGAGCAGGGCACTGATTCAGGGGGTACTATGAACAGTGATGGTGTCCAGGCCGGACAACAGCCTCAGCAGCAGGCAGCTGGCGAGCAGAACACGTGGCAATCGCAGTGGCAGGATTGGCATTGGCAGCCAGCGTGGCAGAGTGGCTACACATGGTCAGGCACGACTGCAGCAGATAATCAGCAAGCCGATTCGTGGCAGTGGTCCTGGAGCAGGCGCTCCTCCACAGAGTCAGCAAGCACTAGTGCTGGTGCGACAGATCAGGGGAAGCAGATGGGAGAAGCAACTCCTGGAAGGTGGTGGGAAACCCCTTTAGGTTGGACATTGGGCGAATCATTGGATCAAGCGATTGAATGGGCAATCGAGAGAAAATGGTTTATTCCAACCAAGGATTTCTGCCGGTGGTGGAGCGAGCAGAGCAGTGCTGGCAAGTCAGACAGTGCCAGTGTAGCTGCCTCGGAGGAAGGGCAAACTTCTTCGTCGACGGCGACAGCGAGGAAGAACTCTGGGAAAGAGTTTGTGCCGGAGTACGATGGCGCGTCCTCGATGCGGGAGTACCAGCGGAGGGTTCGACTGTTTGAGTCGACCACGTCCATCGACAAGTGCTTCCAAGCCGGCCGGCTGGTCGAGAGGATGTCTGGACAGGCTTGGAAGGTCACCGAGACCTTGGACATCAGTAGCCTTAAGTGCGATGATGGGGTACAAGTGTTGCTGGGCCATCTGTGGGCCGAGCTGGAGCCTTTGGAGTTTGTGCGGGTGTTCAAGACACTTCACGGATTCTATGAGCAGTTCAAGCGGCAGAAGGGTCAGGACGTGGTTGCGTACGACTCTGCCTTTAGAGCCCAGCTAAAGCTCCTGGAGGAGGCGGGGGCTGGAATAGAAGGCCTGACCAAGGGTTATTGGTTCATGGCCAAGGCCGATATCTCCGAGGACTTGCGCCAGAAGATTGTTTCTGCTTCCGGCGGCAGCTATGAGTATGAGAAGTTGCGGGACGCTCTTGCAGCCATCAGTCCGACCGTCAGTCGGGCTGATCACCAAGGTGACAAGGAGGGCGGCCAAGCACGGCTCTGGAAGGGCAGGCGCTTCGATCATCGAGTCAACATGGTCGGTGACTTTGGAGACGACTATTCCGAGAACGAAGCTCTGGCCATAGAAGCCGAGGTTCAGGATGAGATGGCCATGGCTGAAGCCATGGAGCAGGAGGCATCCGTGCTTATGACCCAGGCCGCCAAGAGGAGGTCCATGGTCGAGAGAGCCCGGGGCTTCCAGAAGGCCGAGAGCAGCGAAGAGCGAGCAAAAAGGATCAGCAGCATGAAACAAAGGATGCCGTGCAATGCTTGCCGGGCCCATGGCAAGATGGTGTTTGGGCACTGGCATTCCGATAAGCAGTGCCCTTACTTCGACGAGACAAAGAAGAAGAAGGACAAGAGTGCCTTTATCACTGAGAACGGCGATGCAGCTGAAGATCACGCGGCCTTTGTGGTCGGGCAAGCTAGCTCCGAGGAAGAGGACGACCAGGACGACGACGCCTTTCTGGTACATGGCACGGGCCTTGGGCAAACCTGCTTGAGAGAAGAGAGTATCAATCTAGGCCTGTCCGACACGTGCTGCGCCAAGACTGTTGCTGGAAGAGAGTGGGTGAGAAACCACGTCGAGAAGCTGAAAGAGCGCGGCCTCCCCTTCAAGTACTTGTCAGAGCGGGAGCCCTTCAGGTTCGGCGGTGATCCGAAAGTCTTCTCTTCCATGGCCTTGGTGTTCCCGCTGTGCATTCCAGGCTGCCGAATTCCTGTCATGCTGCGCACGAGCATTGTTGATCAAGATGTGCCACTTTTGGTCAGTCGTGGGGCTCTGCAGGCAATGGGAATGATCATGAACTTGGTTGACAGCAGCATGAGGTTTGAAAAGCTGGATTGCTCCACGGGTTTGGTGACCACCTCCACTGGACACGTGGGTTTCCACATCATGTCGAATGACGCGCAGGCCTGGCGAAATGGGGTTGACTGGACCATGGCGGAGATGAAGAAAGAGGCGGAAATCTTCTTCGCCGATGAGTCGGGTGGCCAAGCTCGTCTCAGGACTGGGTCAGCCGGTGACAGGGTTCCTTCATGTAATGTTATCCCGGAGCCGCGTAACTACATGAAGGATTGTCGCAATGTGCTTGAGCAGTGTCATCTTGATCAGCTAGAGCAAGATAGTGAGAGTAGCTGCCTCAGCAATCGCCATGGCGCAGAGCAAGGCAGCGCCGAAGAAGCAGCAGGAGTTCATCGACCGGATCCTCGAATCCCCGAAGATCAACCTTGGAGCCAGCGACTTGCAAGCAATGTCTCTGGACAGGATCAAGGAGATCTATCGAACTTTGAAGCCCAAGAAAGAAGCTGGACCCTTGCCGGTCGGGTGGAAGAGGGGCACCGTGGAGACGCTGTGCAACTTTTACATCGAGAAGGTTGCCACCTACTATCTTCGGGACAAGAACGAGCATTGGAAGGAGTGGACCAAGAGCCGTTTCATCTTGGAGATCGAGATGTACGAGGCGGACGTCATGGAAGAGTTGGCCCTAACCGGGACAACGGCGGCCAAGATGACCACCGGGGCGAGCGCCTCGGACAATCCTGGCCCGCTGGCGCCGACATGCCCGACTTGCGGCGTAGAGATGTTGGAGAGAACGAACCGCGTGACGGGCGGGCGGTTCTGGGGATGTCACCTGTTCCCCACTTGCAAAAAGACATTTCCATTCCAAATCGACGGGAAACCAACAGCCGTCGTGATGGCGGCCTTGGAGAAGCAGCGCGAAGCCGAGAAGATCCGCCCGAAGGTGCCCGAGGAGGAGTCCCCGACAACGATGAAGAAGGGTGGCTATCCCAAGTCTCCCGATCCATCCGTAGTCGATTCACAGGCTTCTTGGGAGCAGGTGAGCGAGCGCATGGCGACCTCCAGCGACGGCCATGCAGATCAGAAGTACAATGTCAACCTGGACATGTGAACAGATCGTTGTGTCAGCATATTCATAAGGGTTTCATCCGCATGTTGAAGGGGAAAGATCCCGGCCGTGTCCTGAGTTTGTTGCGAGCTGTCCAAAAACGGATCAGAAACAACAAAGAAAGCCGAATGCCGCTTAGGTGGAGTGAACGAAAAATTCAGCAAACTTTGCAGCATTGGGTTGGTGCAGTTGAAAGCGCGAATCAGCCACAGGACGTGACCATGGGTGCTGATGGATCAGATCAAGACGAAGAAGAAGGTCGTCTTGGAGAAGATGGTGTCACGTTTAACGTACCACCTGGCCGGCTGCTTTCCAAACCATTGCGACAGGCTCTCCGAAAGATTCACCTGAACCTTGGACATCCCAGTGTGTCTGACTTGCAGAGGTTCCTTAGGTTAGGGGGTGCCAAGAAAGAGTTGGTGGAAGCTGCCGCTTGGATTGATTGCACAACGTGCCGCCATAAGACGCGGCCAAAGCCTCCCAGATCAGGCAACATTCCTCCTCCAGAACTTCAGTTTGGTGATCATTTGAAGATTGATGCGGTTATGGTGTATGATAGTGTTGGTAAGGGCCATTGGTTTTTGAGTGTTGTTGACAAGTGCACTATGTTTCATCAGGTTTATAAGTTGGCCTCCCATTTTGCGAGTGATATTTTTCTGGGTTTAAAAAGGTGTTGGTTTACTTGGGCTGGGGTTCCGAGGGAGATTACGTGTGATCAGGAAGGTGGTTTTTCTTCTGAAGAGCTGTCCCGTCTGCTGAGTGTGCAAGGGACCGAGTTGCACAGTGTTGCCGGGCAAGCCCATTTTCAAGCTGGCAAAATCGAGAAGCATAATCAGATTCTTAAGTCCGTGATGGAAAACGTTGTCAAGCATGCGCATGTCACCGGACTTGAAATTGAGGATGCGGTTAAGGAGACGTGCGTGGCCAAAAACAGCTTGGTTCGTGAGCACGGTTTTTCTCCTGTCAGCTTGGTGTTCGGGCGAGAGCCCCGATACTTCGGGGAAGTGTTTGAAGATGGGGCTCCAGCTTCATATCATTTTAGTGTGGCTGAGCGAGAGAGCGAGCTGGCTCGCAACGTGAGGTTTCGGTATTTAGCTAAGTTGGAGTTTATCAAGCATCAAACAAGAACCATGCTCAGTCGCACTTTGCACAATCGAACCAGGGTGTGCTTGAACCCGAAGATTGGTGATCGCGTGTTCTTCTGGAGAGAGTCCAAGAACAGAAAAAGTGGAGAGAAGATCACCAATTGGGTTGGCCCGAGCTGTGTGATTGGTTTGCACAAGCGAAATGCGTGGGTGACTTTTGGTGGCCGTTGCTATCTGGTGGCTCCCGAACATCTGAGGTATGCTAGTGAAGAAGAATCCATCATGTTGGAACCAGAAATGCAGAAGGCCCTGCAAGCCTTTCGCAGAGCTCCTGAGGTTGCTAGCTACGCTGATTTGACTGATCAGACAGGTCCGACACAGGCCGAAGATAGGCATACCATTGTGCAAGACCATGCCGTGTTGAATTTTTTGAATAGTATTAAGGGCCCTGGTTGGACTAGGTACGGGGAAAGCTTTGTTAGGGTGACCCAGAACGCTAGTCATCTTGAAGAAGCTGACGCCAAGCATGTTGGACAGGATCGGCCTATCAGGGTTTCTTTGGTTCGGGATGGGGAATCCTGGCTCATCATAGGGGTCGATGACTTGAACACTTGTAGAGTGAAGCGAGCTGCCATTAGCACTTGTGACCTGCTCGTGACCATGTTCTCCTCCACAGTTCCTCAATGGGTCCTCGACCAAAGTGCCGCCGACCAAGACGTGTTGGGGGAAGGAGAGGAGGTATATGCTCGTGGTGCGGTTCCAGGGAGTTTCGACCTTGAGCATGAGCTCCCCACTGAGGTTCGTATTCGTTGCGGATATCCGGGGTGGCGTGATGATTACGAAGGAGGGCCTTTCCTCGTGTCACATAATGCGTCCACGTTTCGTACCCCGGTGCCTAGGTACACTGCCAAGAGAATTCCGTACCGTACTACGTGGGTGAGGAACGAGTTTGGGGCTTGGAAACAGCTTGAAAGGGGAGTTCGGTGGGAAAGCCTCGATGATCCCAAAGCGCCTATTCCCGACGGGGAGGCTAAGGTTCTTGTCACGCTGTTTCGGAGAGAGGGAGACCCTAGAGTTGAACACAGAGAAAGAAAGAAGGGTAGGACTGAAGGGAAGAAACTTGTGTACGCTGTGAGTTCTCAGAAGCCTAAAAGGGCTGTTGAGAAGGAAGTGCCGTACGCTGAGATTCCGTCACATCAACGTCAGGCTTATGATGAGGCCCGTGCTAAGGAATGGAACTCCTGGACTACCTACGATGCCGCTATTCCCCTCACGTTGAAAGAGAGTGAGAGAGTTAGAAGAACAAAGGGAGATAGGGTTATCAAGTCTAGGTATGTGTACCGTGACAAATATGCAGGGATGACGGATGAGCTTGGTAAACCGTTGCCGTTGAAAGCAAAGGCACGTTTGTGCGTGCAGGGGCAGTTCGATCCCGACTGCGCGTCGGGTGAAGTGAAAGTCGATGCCCCCACCATCCAGAAAGTCACCTTCATGACTTTTCTTCACCTGTGTGCAAGCTTTGGATGGATTGACACTCTCAGAGGCGGAGATGTGTCAAGTGCCTTTTTACAGGGTGGCGAGTCCTCCGGAGAGCCATTGTTCATGGAGCAACCATCTGAAGGAATCCCAGGGATGGATCGTGGTCAATTGCTTAAACTTAAGAAACCTGTGTATGGAAGACCAGACGCCCCCAGAGCTTGGTTTGATGAGTTTTCGAGAGTGTTGACCACTGAGCTTGGTTTTGAGAAATCTTGTCTTGATCCATCATGGTTCATTCTTCGTGATTCCAATCATTGTCCTATCGCCATGCTTACGCTTCATGTTGATGATGTGATGATAGCTGGAGATGGGTCGTCTTTTTCGGAATCCGTGATTGGCCGCTTGCATCAGAGGTTTCCTTTTGGTGAATGGTCCAACGTGGCTCTGGAAAAGAAAGTCCGCTATTGTGGAAAAGAAGTTTGCGTTGAAAAGAGGAATGGAAAACAATGCATTGTCTTGAGACAGAAGGACTTTGTTCTTGGTAAGCTTGATTCCATTCCTCTCAGCGCTGACCGTAAGCGTCCGCCGGACAGCGCGGCTACTGGACAAGAGCGGACGGACTTCAGAAGCACCATCGGCAGTCTTCAGTGGCTCAGCACTCAAAGCAGACCGGATATATCCTTTGAAGTGAATCAACTGCAGAAACGGATACCGGATCTGAAGGTGTTTGACCTCTTGAGAGCCAACGCGTTGGTGCGTGAAGTCAAGAACAGTGACTCTGTCGAGCTTGTTTTCGAAAACCTCGGAAGGGACTGTGAGGTTGTGGTGTTCCACGATGCTGCTCTCTTTAATTCCGTGGGGGTCGAACTTGAAGCGCAGGATGCTGATCAAGTTTTGCTTAGTGGCAAGGAAAAGAAACTTGTGTACTCCCAAAAGGGTGTGTTGATTGGATGTGTGCAGAAAGGCAGCACTGCTAGCCAGGGGCCACAAGCCATGAACATCCTTGAATGGAAGTCCAGCACGAATCGAAGAGTTACAGTTTCGCTGCTGAGTCGCATGCCGCTGTTCAAGGACACAGCTTGGGTCGTCACGTACAAGCCTTGCTTAGTGAGTTCCGTTGGGGTTCCAAGGTCGTGTGTGAATTTGATGACAGAGAATGGCAAGAAAGGATCCCCATGTTTATGTGCACTGACTGTAAGTCATTGTACGACTGCATCAAGAAAGAGGGGTGCAGCTTGAGTGATCGATTTTACCTTATCGGAGTTGTGCTTCTTAGGCAGCTGTGTGGCATACGCTCTAGCGACAGAACCAACCAGTTGTGGGTTCCCACTAGGCTTCAGAGAGCTGATCCCTTGACGAAGAAGGGGTTAGGCAAGCAAATGCGGGAGACCCTAAACACAGCTGAGTTCAAAGGGGAAAGCTTGAAACAGCTTAAGCGCAGACGTTCAGATCAAGAGAGAATTGGAGTCAGTGCTAAAGGATGCTGATGTCCATTGATCTGAACGCATGTGCTTGTGCCCTTACGACGCCATAGCGGCTCCGGGATACCTGCTGAGCTAGAAAAGGCAGGGCGATGGCTAGGCTTTGCGCAGCAGTTTGCACTAACTACTTTCTAATTTAATATGTAATCAGTTAAGATTAGCTAATACAAGTCTATCAATTGAATAATCACTCGATAATTCCAGAACCCCCCAATTCATTATTAGCTGGCCCCTTTCGCAGCAGTCGTGCCTTTAAAAGTGCTCTTCCAGATTTTTAGGCACCTGAATTTATTGTTTAATATATTGGTTCCGGCAAGTACTTCATAGCCCGGATGCAAAACAAATATTATGGAGGGTTGAATCGGGATAAAAGAGGGGCCAGGTCAACCCAGCAAAATAGTGAGGGTCGCCCTAAAAAGTTAAGGGAGTTGGGGATCTCCTTTCTTTCCTTGTTTTTTGTTTTTGAAGTGTTTCTCGTGGTTTCACAGAGAAATATACAGGAATATCAATCTATTTGTATCAGGCTTGCTTGTATGATGGATGTGGAAGGGTGTCTATTTGACGCTTTTGATAACGGTTCGTATACAGCCAATTTTTCAGGCCATGGAATATTTAATATGGGGTACGCGACTTATTAGGAAGGTCGGCCAGTTGGTGCAATTCTCAAACCAGCTGTTTCATGCTTTTTAAATTAAGATCATGACTCAATGGTAGGAGAGGCACACGTATGGCAAAGGAGTGGTAACAGCAATGGCAGGCGCCACATTAAATTCAGTGTAAGAGCCAAAAAACAAAGGGTGAGCAAACTGAGTTTCAAGCAAGCTGACAGAGTGCTCATTTTTCTATTGTCAGGCTACATGTGGGTTTCAGCTGCACGCCCATGGTATGCGAGCCGTTCCACAACATCAGGTCGACATTCTTCCTTAGCTAGGCTAGTCTCAATGCTGGTCTACTTAGCTCATTGAATCTCTTTTGACTGAAGGTTGAACAGCCTCGAGGATGATGAATCTGTTGGCAGCTACGTGGAGGCTCAGCGCGAAGATATGCTAAGATTTCACCGAGCTTTACAATCTGGCCCCCTCAAACCATCTGTCACAAAAAATATGTTCACCGGGAACGTGTCTGAATTCCTTCGCAGCTGGCTCGGCATTGTCTGCTGGATTGATGGCCCACAAAGCATTTGCATGCCAGACGGAGTCAAGCTCAAGCTCTTCGCAGGATGACAGGCGTGGTTGTACATGTTGGCCTCATGGCTGAGAAATGCGTCTGAAAAGCAGAGCCCATTCCAGTCATTGTCGCAAATTTACGCGTCCCTCTGTTGAAGCGTGAGTATGGCAGGGTTGAAATTCATGCAATGACCATGGAGCAGGCTCAGAATGGCGAAGCTTGGGGCTAGACGTGGATGCAGCACGTGGTTCTTGATTGCTGCTTTTCCGCTGCTATGATTCCACTGTGCAACAGTCGCCTTGAAAAGCCCATGGTTTATTTTCTATAGATTGATGATTCTCAAAGAGTTAAACCCTTGACCGGCTGGTGCTTCATGATCTCATACTGAATTGTGCGCAGGAAAGCCTCGCAGGTTCCTGCGCATGCTGGCCAGGCACTCAGGACCTGCAACAACCCACAGTCGGAGAGACGGTGGCGGGATGAGCTCAATGTTGAGAGATACAAGTCACCAAGGCTCAGAACAAGAGAACTTCACCGCGCCTTGTCTCTTCCATCTTCCAAGTCTGAATCTTGGGAGGGCTGGTAGTTTGTGAGAGTCAGGGGCTGGGATTTCTGGGTGGGGGCGTGTGGCCGCAGCCTAATGTCTCAGCAGCTCAACCCCCTTCTGGCAATTCTCCGAAGCAGCAGAATGCCGGCCTGCAGCCTTCAGCATAACCCAATCGCTAGCCCTGACAAGGATGGCTTTTGGTTCTGCAGTGCGGTTGCTTTGGTCTGCCTGACGAACCTCTTTGCGCTGGGCATCGAGGTTGACAATCGCACCTTGTCATGTAACATCTCCTGGGCCTGGCATGCAATGAAAGATGACCTGGGAGCCGTTCTAGTTGAAAGATTCAGAAGTGGTGATCCTGAGCTATGACGTTGGTGGGGTAGATGTGGAAGTAAAAGGGTCAGCAAAACCTCCGATCAAGGTTGTGTGAGGTCCACCTGGCTGCACGAAGCGGGGAGTTGGTCTCCGCAGCATGTTGTTTGGACACAGAATGGTCTGCACATCCTTGACCGCGCATCATGCATCATGAGCGTATGCCTATGAATGACAGTGTGGGTTGAGGTTGCCAATCCACAACCTGCAATGATGCGAATTCCTACTTCGACCCTCGCATGCACAAAGGCGTTGTCAAACTCTTGCTCCCTTGCCGTCCATGCTGGGTGTGCCCAGTCTATCCCTTGCTATTGTACTCAAATCGCGGTCAAGAGAGTTGATGAATGTCCACTTGCAAGGATATCATCAATACCGCGTTCACTGCAACTGGTGCTGCATAATTCTGCCTCAGGCGTGTGCTTTCGTATGTTGCTAGGGTTCTTGTTTGGCGTTGATTTTAGTGCGGTTGGGATACTTTGGTATCTTCGGTAAATCGTTTTGCAGAGCAGCAAGGGGTGTTTTGTTTTTGACGTGATGGAAAAGATGTGCAAATGATTCAAATGTCGAGACTTCAAGGCGGCCCCAAGCCGAAATCATGGAACTGGACATGATGCCTTGATGCTTTGTTTCTGCAAGGCGATCTTTGTGCTCGATGTGGGAATTCGCATTCTGATGACAGGGCCGAAGCTCTTTTTCTTGGGCCAGCCGTCGCGGGACCGCTTCGAGAAATGTTTGTGCGAATTCCTGTAGCGGCATCTGTGGCATCAAGGTGCAGTCAGCCGACACGTGCGCACATCCTTGCTTGCTGTTTCGCTACTTGGGCTCGCCCCAACAGAAGGGTGCTATGCTAGTATTGGAGGCATTTTCTCTTGGCTTACACGCGCGTGGCTTTTTTTTGAGTGAGCTCGTTACTTCCTAGAAGGGGGGCTGAGCTCACGCGGGCATTTGACAGCATTCCCGAGAACAAACATATGCTGTTGATCTGAATGTTTTGCAGCATTCTAAGGGGTTGATCTGACTCGCATTACTGTGTGCAGGATCTTATCCAGCCCAGCTCTCAGAACAGAACGCCTGCGCGAGGGGTATGAGTCCTTGTATTCTGCTGCATGGTATCTTGGGCAGGTTTCCCGGGTCTCAAAGCCACCTTTTAACACATTGCAAGCAGCGAAATGTAGCGGAATATTGTGCTGCAATGCACACCTGGCACGGCTTGAGGCTAGAGTGGGTCAACTGCGCTGACTTCCTTCTAGCCGCTTTGCTAAAACAGCCATCAATTTCAGAAAATAAAAGCCAAAACCTTATCCGGATCTTCCAATGGACCCAGAAACGTCTTCCGCAAATAGATCAGGTTCTTCTGCGAGTTGTTGACGTGTGGTTGCTCTCTCCTTTCGGCGTTGTCTCGAACCTGAAGTTCGCGAGCGCGTTCAGGCCATACCATACACAGCATTGGAGGGCTTGACATGGCAGATTATCCCTGATTGCGGAGGATCTTCCATGTGTTTCGGGCGGTCCGGCCAATCCCTCAGTTGCCTGCTAAGGAGGCTGCTGAAGCCTGTCAGACCTCAGAGCTTTGTTTGTTTCCATGCTTGACCCTGGGCACTTCAAAGCAGGAAAGATTACGTGCAGAGGGTGTTATGCTGCAATGTTTGCAGCAAGATCACATGAGTGTGCCAGACTTGCCGCGTGAGATGCCATATCGCCACATGATGCTGAGTCCTGTCAATGACAGGCAGGTGCAACTGAATGCGTCCTTCCGAGAGCTTTGGTTGGTCATCTCAGCGCTGGGGGAGACTATGTGGTGGGGGGCCGAGAGCCTGCAATCTGGGATGTGAAGGGGCAAAACAATTTAGCTGTGGCTCCATTTTTAGTTGTGGACGTTGTGATGCTGTATGGACGCAGGTAACCGTAGCTGCTGCAATGACTCTTGAAAACGTTGTGTGCTCCAACATTGAAGAATTGGCTCCCGCGGCCACGGCTAATGGTCAGAAGTGGTTGACTTGTCAATTATTTTTTTCGAGTATGTGTTTGTTTTGCCCCATGGTTCCTCTGGTCCTTAGGGCCTTCTTGGCACTGGTCCTGCCGTCCCTGCAGCCCTCTGGTCCACCTATTGTTGAATTACCGTGAAATGACTACCTTCAATTGGAGTGGAAGTAGTACTGTGAATATTTTGTTTTGTTATTGCCGTTCTTACTCTTCTTACATGTTCACCATTTCCATCAGTCTTCAATTGTTCACCATCAACTTCTAGCTTGCCCGCATTTTAGGAGCCATCCATGCTTGCCGTTAAAAACCGCTCATGTCATCGCTATATTTGCAAATGGGGTGAGCTGCGCCCCTGCCCCCCCACCCGCCCAAGGGACCAACCTCCGGCAAAAGAAAGGCTACGGCATGCGTCCAACATCTCCAAAGCTGACAGACACAGCGTTCCAAACCTGTGGGGTTGGACCCCACTCATAGCCAGTCGTTTGCAACGGGGACACGAACCCCATGAGAAGCCAGCCGCTGGAAAATCGAGCCCCAACTCCAAATGCCAACTATCGGCATAGGTGGTCCCGGCGGAGATATTTTTCCCTTCCAACAGGGAACCTTTTTGCACAAACCGTTTTGAAAGCAACTACTCTTGTCAAGTGCCGGCGGACACAGCCAGCCTCCCCCACATGTGAAGAAGCAACCCTCGCGTGTTCATACCCTTGGTGCGGTCTTCCGCCAATCAAGGACGCTTTTCTGGGTTGGCGTCATGATTATCGGTGTGATTTGGGTGGCTGGCATCCTGTGACTTGGTTTGCGGAAATGATCTGGTTGAAGTGTGTAGTTGCCTGTCCAGCTAGCTTCTGACTTCCGCCTACACTGGCAGCAGTGCGTTCATCACTTGTCGCTGCTGAGGGTGAGAATGGCAGTGTCAGATCGCAAGCCGGAGGCGAAGTGACATGTTGACCCGTCGGTGGCGAGTTTTACATTTTAAGTAGAGTTAAAGATGCAGTGAGGGAAGTGCATTTTTGCAGCTGCCATACACGGTGTATGAGTATTGTGGGAGCACACCATTTCCGTACGGTGTGCCCAAGGGACAGCCTTAAGCTGCTTTGCTTCATTCGTTGGTCTGTGTTTGTCCAATTGGATGGCCCGGGCAGTTCTTGCCCACACATTGGCAGGTCACGTAATTAGTATGAAGTCGATCTTGAAGAAGAAGCATTGCAGGAGTTTAATCTGGACCGATCGGAGTGGGACTTTGAGGAGCGACCTGGTAGCACTTGGACTTCCAAGCAGGCATTTCGCGCAAGCCCCATTGGCAAAACCCCTCTTTCCAAAGCCATGAAATCTCTAAAATCAATGACTTTGATATGCCTCTGTCCTTAGAGTTTGCGCTCAAGGTATTGGGGGACCGTTCTCCGCAGCTCGTGCCTTTGGTGCCAAAAGCCTTTCTTCATGATGTGGGCGCGTTGTCCGAAGAGATGTTGGCGGTCCTGGGTGCATTTGGGATTTCACAACGCACAGTGTCCCCGTTTGTACTCCATAAATTATACCCTAAAGATATTACACCCTGATTGAAGCAGCACCGCCTCCACGGCATTGGATCTGTTTTTCGCTTACTAAGGTACTCCTTGTTTCAGGCTGGGGTGGGGATGCGTCTGATGACGGCCCCAATCTGCCTGATGAGGGATTTGCGTTGTACTTCTGCCATTTTGCCAGCACGTAGACTCAAACAGGTGGCGGAGCAATAACGTAAGAGGACGAGTTAGCATTGGTGGATGTAATTTTGCGGTGGATGCGCGCAAGGCGTTTGTAAAGCAGATCGCTTGAGATCAGATAGTCGCGCGGTGGCAGGTTATTACCCGCGACAGATGGTCAGACTCCCTGGTGCCGCTTGGTTGCTAAGAAGACTTGATGCTCCTCAGGCATCTTGCCTTTTTTTGGTCCTCCTGATGAGTGCTCCGTGGAATTGGTGCTCTACTGCAAGTGATGTAAGGTGGCCACTCGTAGAGACGCCGCAAAGCTGCAAAAGATGTACCATTGCGCACGAAGAAAGCTATCGCAGCTGTCAAAGATTCCAGACCTCCCATTGGCTTTCTCGAGCCATGAGGCTTTTGCATCTTCAGGTCGATAGCCATGAGAACTTTGTTGTGCTTTATCGATGATGCTTTCATTCCGGCGTTGAAGCAAGCAAGGAATCCATCTCTGATGGTCGTGTTCATTTGCTTTCTGACCGTTGCCAGCCTGGCCTGGGACTAAGACATGCAGTCGCTGAATTGGATTCAGCGCTTATAGGGCTGACAGCTTCGTGTCTTCACACTTGCCAGATTCGCCAGATTTGGCTGACAGAACAGAAGCACAAGCACGGGTATGCTCACGTGCAACCCCAACAAATGCAAGCTTCTGCGCACAGATCATTTCTGAGTACGCTGAGTCATTGATGAACTCCGTGATCGGCGTCGTGGTGGCCGCTCGGATTGGCTCATGCAAACGCAGCAGGCGGGTTCTAAGTGAGGAGGTTGTGACCGTGTCAGCTGTAAGTGCCCTGTGCCAGTTTACTGCATGGCTTCAAGGAAAGCACCCTGTCAAGTGCACGGGCCACAGCAGCTCGTGAGCAGAAGGCAGCCCGGCCATGAATGGTGTATTGAACCAAAATCTGATCGACTGAGAGGACTCATGTAATAAGATGCAATAAGTACGTAAGTTGTTCGGCTCCAAACCGCGAGGGACTTATTGGAAGGGCGGTCCCGCATCAAGCTCAAGTTTGCGCTCTGACGACACGCTGAGGTAAAAGAAAAGGTGGATGCGCAGGCCTGAACTGGCCCTACTGCCAGCTTCCAGCATGTTTGCGCTCATGTTTTGTGCTCGACTTCTGCCATCATGTTGCCACGATATGCCACGATCATCGTTGGGAGTGCTGCCGTTCCGTTGTGATAAGTTGGGAATCGCCTGCAGCCCATTGCTGGCGTTGGCGGTTTAGAGGAGCCGTGTCGTGTTGTCAGTAAATGCACCCTTGCAACAGGTTCTGCAGTCCATGCGGGAAATCTTCGAAGCAGCTGATACTGACAAGTCTGGAAAGCTCGATAAGGACCCGGCCAAGGATGTTCGAAAAGTCATTACAGCACAGGTTCCGTGCTTGGAAGGCCATATCACTGCTCTGCCGAGCTGACGATGCTGAACCACACCCCAATGACAGTTACCAACTGGACTGTAGACCGTTCTGCAGAAACAAGCTGTCCAATCAGTCCTAGCCCTGCAGTAGCACTTGTACTGTTAACTTCAGACGTTGCAGGACGAGCTGCAAGCACTCTTCCGCGCTTGGTTCGCAGAATCATCACGGCTGGATGCAGATTTCGTTTTGTCTAAGTCTACGAGTCTACGTTGGAAGAGCTCATAACAGTAAAGGCACATCTCAGTAGATTGCGATGGCTCTGCTTGCCAAGAGTGGAAATGGAAGCCTCGTTCAAATGAGATCTACCACTAGGCCTTCAGCTGTAAACGGTCCATGTTGCTTGGCCAGTGGCGTTTAGGTAATCACCGAGTGAGAGATCGCCTGAAGTTGCTCCAGCTACCCTTCAAGGCCAGGGTATGGGGGTGCCAATGAAAAGTCTCAATACAAGCCTGCTTAGGTAGCCGTGCAGGCACAAATGGTGTTAATAGTCTTGCATGCACTTTGGCGCCTGAAGGCCAGGATGCTGTTGGCAAAAGATGGCCTGTGAATCTCCCCAGCATCCCCAACCATCCTGAACTCTGAATCCATTCCACAGACCAACATCGGTCATTCTTAGAAAGGGCTCCTTTTTGGTAGCGGGCTGACATGAGGGAGGAATCGCTTAACAAGCTGTTGCTGGAACCTGTCTGGGCCCGCTCAAGACGAACTCCAACAATGCCAGTGAGTTGTGGCAAGTGTTGGTTCGTTTGCTTGGGGTGACGAGAGGACCTGGAGATGCTTTTCGATATTCTGGATGATGACAATGGCGGTAACATCAACACCGATCGGTGGGCCTGGGAGCAGTTAGCTTTGGCTGTTGCGGGTGGGGGCTTTGGGCACATCAGTCAAATCAATTCTGTCCTGCTCATTCCCAGCTCAGCATCTGAACTGTGCATGTTGCAAAGCGCGTATGCTCGTCCATGCGGAGATGAATTCTCCTGCAGGGCTGCAGTCATGAGCATGCATTGGAAATCTTGGAAGCAGCCCTGAGTAGACTGACTACGACCCAGATTCTTCCGCGGGGTGGAGCGGCTGCGAGGGCAAGCTGCCGCTTCCGACTTGCATCAAATGAGCCTTGGCAGCGTGTCCTTATGCAGGGAAAGGGAAAGTTGATGGGCAATGCAGCAAAACGTCCCTCGAGCAGAGGCTGTGAGCACGGGGCGGCCAAATAAGTCAACCTCAGTTGTAAGTTGTAAGTCTGAAGCTGTGCGGGGCCTGCATCTGCTGCGGGCGAAGGAATGTAGATCTCAACAAGAGATTGAAGTGGTGTGACTCACACCAGAAGGAGGCTGGGACGTAGTGGTGAAGCGGAAGCCTCGGCTGCGGTGTTGATGTCGGAGTGTGCTTAGTGTCTTTTGTCTGACTTCTTTGCCGTGACGCTGTACCGCAACGCATTCCTTTGTGACTGTCGCATGCGGTGTAGAGAGCACCAGTTTCAGCAAGCAGTTTTCAGTTGCAATCTAAAGCTTAGCACCACAGACTGCCGACTTTGCAGGTGACGGACCTCAACGACCATCTTGCAGAGCTGCTCGATGCGATCGACGATATGGACGGAAACATTGCGCCTTGGTGATTCCTACGGCCAGCCTGGCAAAGATGAACTTAAGTCACTGTATGATGGCCTTGAGGCTTAATGAAACTTAAGATTGCGTGTGCTAGCAATCAAGAGACCTCCTTTTTGATCTGCAGTCTTGTCCGATGGGCCCATTTTGGCAGAGCCTTGTGCCAGAAGCAAGATCGACATATCACACTAAAAAGTTTTCAAATCAGAAGGTCCGCAGCGATGTGGACGAGAAGGACGCGGCCTGCATGCCACACCCAACCGGCAGCTCTCATCATGATGGATGGTCAGAAAGAGCAAGTATTCCTGTAGGGTATAAGGTGCAGCCGAGCGACAAGCACAGGATCCATATTATAAGCATGTTGTTCAGCAGGACCCTGTGCTGATGGCCAAGCGGGTTCGGCAGAAGTTTGTCAAATCAGAGCAGCTTCGCGGAAAGAACTTCAGAAAAGGTTCCTTGGACAGCACGTGCTGGTCCTGTGTTGCGTGCCGCACAGTTATTTCTAGGGCTCCACCTGACGCTCAGCAATTGCCAACCAAATCCCAAGGCCACAAGCCACCGGAAGCATACAATCCGTGGGAGGAGATGCGGCGGAAAGAAGTGTCGCTAGTCTGTGAGTATTTCGTCTCTTTGACCGCATGCCCACCACAAATTCGGCTACACGTTTGAGAGCAGGGCTCTACGCCTGCGGGCTCATTGATTTTCGATTTTCTCCCCGCGGTTGTCGAAGCAAGAATCTCTGTGGGCTTAAGCTCGGCTACCAACAGAGCCCTAGTGTGGCTTTCACCCTTGTTCAAAGGATGGCTCGGCGTTTGGAGAAGAGGAGACTGGAGGCAATGACTGAATGCCTGCCCACCTGCATCTTGCGCATGGATGAAGACACATCTTCGTATAGCCGCCGGCAAGTCAGGGCAGCAAGTTAGCCCAACCCGGATTCAACCCAGCATTGTGGCATTGAGACATCTTGTACCACTAGCGCAAGTCCTACCATCAGCAATTGTACTTCATCATGATCATCACGTAGTGCCAGGATTCTGAATCTTTGGATGCTTCTGGCTAGCCCGGTGCGTGATAGCACGCTCCAGGAGTTTGCGCACCGTATCTGGTTTATCCCATTTGTCCCTGCCAGGATGAGGATAAGATCAAAAGGAAGGAAGCCGAGAAGCCGCCCGGAGTTATTGGGGTTTGTGGCTTTGGGCTGGGGATTCCACGTGGAGAGTGCTGGAAACGTCGGCCAGCAACAAAGCGATTCAAATGGCATTTCAATATGAGCTCAGAACTGAAGTGTATCAACATGAACCACGTCATTTGTTCGCAGGGCTGCCCAGCGAAGAGCCTTCCAGGAGGCGCGCAGGTTTCGGCTAGTCCGGGGAGTTTCGGGAACGCAGCCTCAGCAATCCTGCCTTGCTTAAGCATCAGAGAAGGTGCTGTCGCTAGATGAGACATTGTCAGAATGTAGCGGAGCCTTGAGCCGTTCCTCAGCTGCCTTTTGAAGCACAAGCAGGAGCGTGAGAAGCGAGCTGAGAGGAAGCAAGCGCAGTACCTCAGCAGAGAATGCAGGGTTCTCGTGGTTTGCAGGCTGTGCGCTTCAGCTATTTAGGAGTACAGAGAGACTTCACCCAGTTTAAAGACGTTCTGGCCTTGTGACAGTCCTCAAGCTGCAATGCACTGTGCTCTTTGGCTTGGAGCTCCTGACATTTTTAAACACCGTGTACCGGGAAGATCTCAGATAGCTTGAAAGGCAAGTCCAAAACAACGCATCCGTACAAAGCTTTTGCAAGCCTCTGCGCAAGGAAGTCTCAGCCGCCTCCTCCACCATTGCCGCACCATCTGCAGCGCGTGAGGGAGCAGTGCCTTGGCCAGCACAAGCATGCTTGAGAAGCCCAGTTGTCTGTGGGGAGCCCGGGAATGAACAGTGCTGCTACAGACCGGGTTTTGGAAAGAAAGTGGTACGTAAAACTCACCTGAGCTGTCGAGGCAGCAGATGGCCAAGGCGCCAGCGCTGCAGTGCTACTTACATCCATGTCTTGCAAGAGCAGTGTAGCAGAGCAGTGTCCAGCTACTGCAGTATCTACTGGCAGGGGGCACATTGTATTTTTTTGATCTGCCTCGTTGCGAGTCTTTGGGTATGAGAGCCCTGTATCATCAGCGGCAGGAAAAGAGGCGCATTGAGAAGCTGCGGCGGCGTGCCGCGGAGGCAAGTGGCATTAAGTGATATCAAGTGGCTAGGTCTTTCCTTGAAGCCAATGGATTCATCTCGCTGACCGTTTGCTGACAGGAGAAGAAGCGAGACGTTCTGGGTCTGGCTCTTGAACCTGCCTACTAGTCGGTCAATGATGGTTGGCGTGTGTCATAAGATGTCAGAAGCGAAAACGATTGCAAGCGCCATGCCGCTGTCCAGTGACGTGCCAGCATGCCGAGGACACATGTTCTGACCAGACAACTCCTCAGCCACCTGTGTATGGCGCCGAAAAAGGTATTTGACTCATGTCATGCCGGCCATGTGCCACCGTCTCACCTTTTTCACGGCATGGTGCAGTGCAGACCTGCCATATGAGATCGGAAATTTGAGCTGCCCGACGAATAGCGAGACACCAGGGCAGGTAGCCATTGCAAGAATTCGTGATAATGTTGCACGTCGCCATCTGAGCAGCTGACCTGTCATTGAAACCTTAGACTAGCTACACACGGGCGCGTGAAATAAGCTCTATAATTTCTGCCTCACCTATCCAGTGATGGGCTGCTAGTCAAGTCAGACAAAGTATTTCTTCCAGATGCAGACCTGAAGGCCTGTGTAGATTACGCCGGGCGCACTGCGAGAGCAGCTGTTCAAGAAGGTGACAGCGATCCCGCTGGCTGAACGTTCAAAATGTTCCCTGGCCTCTTAAAGAACACCCTTCTGGTTGCAGCAGAAGGAAAAGCGCGGCTGTGCAATGTTTTTACGCCTCGACATCCCCCCAGCCTCACTCCAAATCGAGAATCGCTAGCCACATCCTGCGTAAGAGTTTCTATCAGACAAAGATTTCTACGCTCCTTCTGCGAGCAGCCAGACAGAGAAGCGGAGAGGGGGGCTTTGATGAAGTCTTGTAGGACGCGCAAGCTGCCCACATTGCATTCTACGCCTGAGCCACCTACGTAAGTTCTCTGAGGGCGAAGATGACGCCGCTTCCGAAGGTGAACCGGCCCCTGGGTAGTCCGCGGCTTGGAGATGGCGTGATTTTGGCTTCAGGGGTGGTCTAACCCTTTGACAGACTGAGCAGATCAAGCATGCTGGCGTGTTGAAAGCGTGGGATCACATTGTGCAGTCTTCGAGGATGTTGTAAGGCCTGGTCGTGCGGGGGCAGATTTTGACATCCAGTCTAGGGCTGGCACGGGCTTGCACACAACAGCCACAGAATGCAACTGCACTTGGAAACAAGGCGTCCTGACATGAAGCGTTCATTCAACCCTCTAGGCTCAAGCAGGTTCCAGCTTCCTCCGTTTGCTGTCCTGCTTTGCTGTGGGCTCGGACCAGCGCATCAAGAAAGAGTGGTTGTCGCTTCAAAAACAGTGAAAAGTCTTCGAGCGCTAGTCACTGCATGGTCTCACTTCGCGCGCTGCTGGCGTGGATTAATGCTGGCACCAAGTGGATCGTGTCAGGCCAGAAGCTCCAGTTTCGGGAGATGAAATGTGGAATTGTGTGTAAACAATGTAGACACATTTATGCATGTCATAGTCCGTTTGTCTCCCGCAGGAACCGTCTTGGGAGTGCTTCTTTGGCGCCGTCATGATGCAACTTGTTGGGCGCTACTGGGAGCAGTGTTGGCTGCTGCGAACTGCAAGCTTTTGAAGCCTCGTGGCCGCATTTTCCCAACACCACGCCAGAAGTACTCATCGCGCTAGAGGTGTTGCGGTCTTGTTCTTATGCGGTTTCAAACTATACTGCCAAGGAGGCTGCTGAATCAGTCGCGCCCGGATGGTGCCCCAAAGTTGGACCGCAAGCCTTGCAGCTCAGGTTTAAGCCTTGCAGCTCAGGTTTCACAGTTACAACCCTTGCAGGCGTGAGGCAGCAAGAAACCTTCAGCAGTCGCAGTTTTTTGACTTGGCAGGACCCTGGCATGCCTTCCTCGCATGCGCAGAGCCTGGGCTTCCTGACTGACTCAGTCCTGTCAAGGGCTAGAATGCAGGAATCCCCTGCAAGAGTGCAATGCCCATCTGATCTCGGTACGTGCATTCGCCCAGGCTTCCTCTCCACTTATGCTGCTTTGGACTTGCTTGTTCCCTTTCACGAATCCGGTGTGCGCCTATGGCAACCAGGTCACATGGCAGGATGTGTCGGTTTGCTGGCTTTGAGTGTGGGCTCTTTGGCTATTCAATCCCTTCCACTTGTTGATGTGTTCTGCTAACAACAAGTTGGAACACCATAAAGAAAATTTGCAGTTGGGCATCTTGTGCTGTTGAACGCTCCGAGAGGGTTGGGCACTGCAGGGACACCCTGGGGTTTGAATAAGTGTGGCACTGCTAGAATGCAGAGGTTGGGCACTCCACACATACTCGGGGGCGGGAAGATGGGTGACCGCGCAAGGGGAACAGGTCTTCTAAATACCTAATAGTCCCACAGCAAGGGTGGGGTTTCGCTGCTAGATTGCGTTCGGAGGGAGCATGCAGGAGCCGGCATGTGCAAGTTATTCTCCGACCTCATAGTGGCATTGTTAGATTTCAAGGCGTCTATGTCCTCCTCGCCCTCCGTGTCGGGCCTAACCGCAAAGTATTCCTGAAGTGCCTAGCCCACAGAGTACCGCAGCAGCGCACAATTGCATAATATCCCTGCAGTGCCCGACCACATTATCAGCCCTTGTACTTGTAACCCTGTAAAAAGATCCTATGTAGGCCTTATAGCCCTTCAAAGGGCTCTGTAATTAGGCCTCATAACCCCCGTAAAGGACCCTTTTAGCCTATAAAGCCCTTGTAAACCATGATAAGGACCCTATGTAGGCCTGAAACGCACCGCGACAGGACCCAATATAGCCTTTCACGCCTTTCAAAATGGACCCTGTGCAGGGCTTTTAGCCCCAGGCCCTACATAGATTTGTAACCCCTTGAAAGGCACCCCATAGAACCCTTGTGGCCCCTTTCGGACCCTTTGTAGGCCTTATAAGCTTTGTGAGAGACCTTACTTAGCCCTCTGAACCCCTTCAAGACCCTAGACTCTAGACCCTATGTAGGTTCCTTACACAAACTTAAATTTTTGTGTTCCAGGAGATTGGCTGAGTAAGATTGACCAGAATCGGTCAACAACTACAACCCCAAGTGCTGGAAAAAATGGATCTTACTTCCGATAAACAACATGCCTCGTCCATGTCCGATTGTTAATGTGGTGACGTGTTTGATTCTGAGCGCCGAAAAGACACACAAAACTGAAGCAACAGTCATTTGTTTGCTTCCATGTTCACGAGATGTCTCATTCCTGCTCGAACTTCCGGACTAGGCAGGACAGCAGCTGTACTTGTAAAGCGCAATCATCGTCCGAGCCCAGATCCCGCCATACCCGACCCATCCTGACCCGTTGCCGCAGGTGTTCCCCGCTGTCTGGCTGCATCCGGGGTCCTGGTCAGCGCGCTGCTCGTCTTGAGGGCATGTCGTTGATCAGAGAGCAGCTGGGGTGGGGTGGGGAGTTGCGCGAGGGTAGGAGCCACCTTTCTTTACAAGGGATGACGGAAGTGGCTGTTGCCAAAGAGCTTGGGCCCACCATTTTCTTGCTTACGCCGTGACGTGCACAGCAAGGGTGTGGCCTACTATATCTCCCCCTACAATGCGGTGTTGTAGAAGGCCTTCGAAGCGTAGCTATAGTTGCATGACATGTATTGGGCTGCAAAAGTGCCGAGAATGCGGAGGTTTATGCACATTGCTGGTAGCCCGGAGACATGACGTGGCAAAGCTGAAGTGTGGACGTTCAGGCATTGAAGAGTCCAGTGCCTGGCTGAAAGCACTCCTTGGCAAGCATGTTGTTCTCGCGACTGCAACATTTCACACCATGATGTCTAAAAAGGCGCCCCTAGTCGCGCCAATAGGACCAAAGCATCTACTGCATCCGGTGTAAGTTGAATCAGATGGACTGAGGCCACGCCGAGCAGCAAATCTTTTTTTGACTCAGACCTTGATAGGCAGATGTAGGCAGCAAAAGAACGGGAGTTTGAGAATTGAATAGCCTTTCCACAGGTGCTTGAGGCTGTGCTTGACTCTGCAAAGTGGCAGCTCAGGTTGGGTTTCGCTTGGCTCCGGATCACACTTGGATTCCATACCCTGGCGCAGGTGCTGTGGAAGCATACTTGGACTGTCGGGCATGTTTACATGCGCAGAGTTCAAGAATCAGTGACGGTTTGTTTCACTCCGACTGCAGGGTGGTAACCTTAAGCGCTTATCACCCTGCTCCTCCCGCCGAACTCCCGTTCTTATCCTGCAATAACCCTGTTCCCTGTCCTTACATGAACCTGAGTGAACAGCCAATCTTTGCCCCGCACATTTTTAGACTCTGCCGGGCTCATTTTGCAAGGGGATGTCACAGAAAGGAGTAGTAATTGTAACAGCAATAATAGCGGGTAATCATGCACGCTACGGTACTGATAGTAGGCAGGAACAATTCTGCAATACAGCTCCCGAGAAATCAGGAACGGGCCCTGGACTGTATGGGTTTGCTGGCGGTTGATAGGTGCAGAGTGAGTCCCCGCCCCCTTTCCAGGCAGGTTTTCGGCCATCATGGTTTTTTCTTTTAAAAGCTGACGCTGAGAGGGCCCTGAGCTGCAAATGATTCGTACCAGCTGATAGTCGGAGAGTTAGCACCCCTTCAAGCATAATTAAGTTAAATCCTCTTCTCTAAAGTGATAGCGCGGGCTAACTGCCAGGGAAGTGATAGCAGCGTAGTCAAAGCCATGATCCATTTGCTGATGCGCAGAAAGTGAGTCCCCCTTTTTTCCAGGCAGGTAGTAGCATGTTTCGTAGTAGCATGCGAGCAAAACTGCGAAATCAGTATCGTATTCATATGAGTATTGGTTTTTAGTTTTTAGTGTTGTTCCCAGTACCAGACTTCAGTACCAAGATGCAGTTAGTCACCTTCTGTTGAGCCCCCAACAACATGTGTAGGAGAAATGGGTATGGGTGAGTTCTGCCCCTTCGGTGGTATAGCTTGCCCCATGGATCTCCAAGGGCGACTGGGGCAAGTGGGGTGAGCTGGGCGAGTCGAGCGATTCTGTTCATTCCCTAGATGTTCTCCTTGCCCACGGCGCAGTGCCCATCTGAAGAGTATCGAAACCGCGAGTGTCCCTGCATGCAAGAACAGAGTATCCCTCCAGGCCCATACTCCACCAATGCCCAACCGCAGAGTCCCCCTGCAGTGCCACAGTGCGCGCATCATCCACCATTGCTAAGAAATTGCCTGCTACGTACGGCTTGAGCCGGG